TGAGATGGAAACAACCTAAGTGTCCATCATCGGATGAATGGATAAAGAAGATGTGGCACATATATACAGTGGAATATTACTCAGCCATAAAAAGAAACGAAATTGAGTTATTTGTAGTGAGGTGGATGGAGCTAGAGTCTGTCATACAGAGTGAAGTAAGTCAGAAAGACAAATACCGTATGCTAACACATATATATGGAATCTAAGAAAAAAAATGTCATGAAGAACCTAGGTGTAAGACAGGAATAGACACAGACTTACTAGAGAATGGACTTGAGGATAATGGGAGGTGGAAGGGTAAGCTGTGACAAAGTGAGAGAGTTGCATGGACATATATACACTACCAAATGTAAAATAGCTAGTGGGAAGCAGCCGCATAGCACAGGGAGATCAGCTCGGTGCTTTGTGACCACCTAGAGGGGTGGGCTAGGGAGGGTGTGAGGGAGGGAGACACAAGAGGGAAGAGATATGGGAACATATGTATATGTATAACTGATTCACTTTGTTATAAGCAGAAACTAACACACCATTGTAAAGCAATTATACTCCAATAAAGATGTAAAAAAAAAAAAAGAACCTACTGGTAAAAGAACTTTTCTTCTTTTACATTTTATAAAATAAAGTACCCATATAATAAGGTCATTCTGCATTAGTATTAATTTACTCAAATAAAGATTGATTTAGAGGTTCGGTACTAATTTATAACTTATAAATGAAAGGGAGCAAGTACTTGGTGGTTTAAATACTCCCAAATGTACCACAGACTTTTAAGACATTCATCCTCACAGTCTCTCACTCAGGCAGGAACCCATGATACTGGAGGTGGGAAGAGGGCAACGCCAGGTCAAAAGATAGCCCATTTCAGGCCTGCGAGGGAGGCTCATCGAGGCTTCGCCTCACCTGACCGTTCTGACGACGAAGTACACCAGCACCGCGCCACTCACCACCATCAACACAGTCAGGGCTCGTTGGGTCATGGGCTTGTCGCTGGGGTTGGGGCTCACAGCGAGGACGCCACCCACTGGGCCTTCTTCCCCCGCTTTCCCGCCTGGGTCTTCGGCTGCAAGCCCCGCACTGGGAGTGCTGCTATTGACGCCCTCGGCGCCCCGTGGTCCCTCGGCTTCGGCCGGAGCGCGGCCCGGGAACTGGGCAGCTGTGGGGCCGGACGGCAGAGGTGGCAGGGTTCGCGGCCCACGGTCCGGAGGCATGGGATCCGGCACGGCCTCGGCCGCCTGCAGCAGTACCTCCAAGGGCCCTCTCAACTCAGGCAGCAGTAGCAACAGCAGGAGGGCGGAGGCGAGCAGGTGGCTGAGGCAGCAGCTACAGTGCGTCGCCTTCATTTTCCCCGGACCGCCCTCTCACCACGTGGTAGCTGCCGGGCCCGCCGCCCTGGCTCCAGGTGGGACCATGGGCGCAGTGAAGAACGAATAGTGACCAAATCCCGGGCTAAGACCCGGCCACAGCAGCTGGCAGAAGCGTCAGCGGCTGCAGCTGCCGGGAGAACCGGAAGTTCGTACATCTCAGCAGCCACTGCTACCAGGGACGCTTTCGGTTGCTAACATGCCGGGGCTGGCGCGTTCCGTGACGTCAGGCGCGCAAGGCCATCTGCGCACGCGCCCTGCCAGAGGCGCGGGGAAGAGCTCCGTGGTTGGCTCACAAGTAAGAAAGTAAACAAAAAAAAGGTGTTTAAAGTGTGCAGCAGCTCTTTGCATGAAGAAACCATGAGAGATTGGAAGCTCGTAATTTGAGTTCGTTGGTGCAGAACTGCAGAAACACAGCTAATCATTTATTAAGACCGCCTTGACGTTTCCCTCAGCTCAGGTACAAATTTTAGACAGGTTTCTTCCTGCCTCTAGGTCCTTGACGTCTCTTTCCTTAGGGCATTTACGTTAGAAAACTTGTAACTGTACATTGATTCTCTGCATTTTTGAAATATAAATCTTTAAAAAAGTTCTTGCCGGTGATACAACCCAGGGCTGTCTTTCTTAAGGAACAAGGAGCCATCCTTTTGAAAAATGTCAACAAAGAAGATATCCCTATTCCCCAGTCTCTTTGGAAGGGTAGGAGCCTAACTTAGGCAGGCATCTTGTTTCAATTTGTAAAACTACCTCCTGCCACAAAGCTACGAGAAAACTTTACTTTTTCTTTGGGTAAAGCTAATTAGTAAACAGAATTGGCCTAAGAGCCTCCCTACTCTTAAAATCTCGTAAGCTTTTTGTTATTTTCTGGTGAGTTGAGCTCAGAGTCCTGGCCCCTCTTCTCTATTGCAGTAAACTTGGATAAGTCTTCCTTGCCTGTTTAACTTTTGCGGTACGCGGGCCTCTCACTGTTGTGGCCTCTCCCGTTGCTGAGCACGGGCTCCGGACGCGCAGGCTCAGCGGCCATGGCTCACGGGCCCAGCCGCTCCGCGGCATGTGGGATCTTCGTGGACCAGGGCACGAACCCGTGTCCCCTGCATCGGCAGGCGGACTCTCAACCACTGCGCCACCAGGGAAGCCCTGCCTGTTTAACTTTGACATCAGTAACATGGAACTTTGGTTTGAGCAGATACAAACAAACACCAGACCAGAAGTCAGAGTTAGTATTTGTTCTTTTAAAAACGTATTCATTCAACAAATTGTTTAGACTTTCTACTCCTTTCTTAGCACTGGGTCTGAGTATTAAATAGTAGGCAAGTAAGATATGATCCTTGCTCTCTTAGCACTTAGGTTCAAATGGAGATAACAGAATAAACACTTGGATTCATTCTGATTCTGAAGTGTGTGTTATAAATGACAAGTACAGAGTCCACAGTAAAAATTGTGTAAAGGACTATTGTAGGTAAGGTGGAGAGGATAGTGTCTTCTAGCTGCTTGGGGGTAACAGAGCAATGCAGTTGCTCCTGCCACGTAGAATTGCAGGGACTAGGCCTCTTAATGCTGCGTTCCAGTGTGAGGAAGACCATTGGTGACAAACCCTAATTTTAGCTTCCAGCCTGGGCATTTATCAGTAATGAAGTGGCTCCTTGGGTTTCTTCTCTCCCTTATTCACAACCTTATTCAGAGTCATATGTGGAAGAGAGTTAGTATGTAATGCCACTCCCTTCCACTCCTCAAAAAAGTCCAATATTCAACAATCAAAAAACAAAAAAAGTTCATCATCATCTTTCTTTCTTTACAGTATCTCATTTTTACCATTGTGTTCCTTGTCTTGATTAATGGCATTATTCTTCACTCAGGTGTTCAGGCATAAAATCTCGGAGTCATCCTTTACCTTTGGCTTTCCACTGGCATCATTGCTTGCCAGTAACTGCAAAGTGCTAAATAATTCTGAAATAGCAGAGTTAAACTAGTGATTCCAAATAGTTAGAGCATATCATGTTCTAGTGTTTCTCCAAATGTGATTCTTAGCTACCTGAATCAGAATCAGAAATGGGATTTGTTAAAAATGCAGGTTCTAGGTCACTATTCCAGAAGTTCTGAGCCAGAATTTTTGGGATTGGGGACATGGACTCTGTGTGCATTTTTATTAAGCTCTCAGGGTAATTTTTATTTGCACTAAAGTTTAAGAATCTCTTCTTTCTCTCACCACCTATGTCCAAATGTTGTCAAATTTTCTCCATTTTCCTAATGTCTCTGTCACTAATCAACTCTTTTCTGTTCCGTGCCTCTGACAAGGGATTATTTTTATATTGCTAGAGATCTTAAATCTGCAGATTATTGTGTTTTTTGCATAATACCGTATTATTTGTAAAGTGTCATGAAAAATATTTTCAATTCAATCACAGGAACTAGGAGCAAGTTTCCTGGGAGAAAATATTGTATTTTGCTTATATAATATAAAATGACAATTTGGGGGCACACATGTCTATTTAAAAGACAGATTGTCAAACTAAGTATAATTGGTGCTTCTGAATTTTTTCTATTAATAATAATAATATTTGTTCATTTACATGTTTTCATTTGTCTCGCAAACAAGTTGTGCCCATCACTAGAGATTTAAAAACATATAGGGGAGAAAAATTATTAGAACAAGTAATTTATATCAATTTACTTAAATTAATCTGCATACTAGGAAAAGACCACCATTATTCTAATTTATCAGGGAACACTCCAGCTGACAGAACAACAGTCTTTTGTGGAAATCTGTAAAATACCACTGGCCTGATAAGTAAAATCTAACCCTCCCTCCCTGCTCTAGTACTGAATAATAATTTTGAATATTAATTAAGCATCTATTGTGTACCAGATATCATTTTATCAAATGTTAAATGATTATCTTTGTTTAGTCCTTACCAGAAAAAAACAAATAAACTAAAACTAAACCATTATTATTCCTATTTTACAATTAAGGAAACTGAGATCAAGGATAATCAAACTGGTAAAAATCAACATGAGTAAAAACAATAGAGCTGGGCAGTGAACCCAGGCCGTCTAGCAGCAGAGGTGGGCTATTGCGTGCTACATTTTATTTTCTCCTAGTTGTAGGTTTCCATGATTTGAGTCTAGCTTATTGTCTCAATCAGCTATTGCTAGATTAATGCTGCATAGCCAGTAACTAAAAAGATATCAGTGGCATACAGCAAATAAACTCTTATTTTTTCTCCTGTGTTTTTGGTAAAGGTGGGATTGACTAATTTAAGTTGACCTTGTGAGTAAGTGGAAAGGGGATGGGGAATGGGCATAAGGAGGAATGAGGAGCCATGTATGTCTTTTTTTTTTTTAAACAGTGAAAACAACTGGTTACCCAAAGTCCCACCTGATGCCCTTGACACACATCTCACTGGAGAGAGGTATGTCACATGGCCACTTCTAGCTTCTGGGAATCTTGGAATTTTAATGTTAAAATGGGCATATTCTAGTCCCTGAAAAAATTTGTTTATGTTAGCAAGAAAAAAGAAGACAATTTATATTGATAGGCATTTCATTTTCAGTTCTAATAGAGAACAAGGCTCAAATGAGTGTTCTCTGGTGTCAGAATTCCCTACCTTCCCTCTTCCCCTCCCATTAAGGAAGAGGGAAGGTAGGAGGTTGGCTCAGCTGGAATGGTCATTCATAGCAACATCTGATAGATTGAGTCTCTTATACTTTAAGTGGCAGTTTATTGCCTCATCGGGTGGGACTGTCTATACCCTGAAGTCCAAAAAGAAAAAGAGTTCAATATGAAAAGAGAATACAAACTGATCACTAAACCAGGAAGTCAAGAGAATGTACTAAAGAGCTCAAACGTGAAGGCAGAATTGGAATGTCAGAGGACAACTAAAGAGCAACAGTTCAAGAATAAGAAGGAACAGTGTTGTTGAGGTAGGTACCACATAACCAAGTAGGAATATGAATAAATATTAGGGTTAAATATCTAAAAGAAAATGACCATGTAAATGGGCTATGGTTCCTGAGAGGAAAGAAACAAGGTGAGCCCCACAGTTTCCCTGGATCTCTGCCTGGGGAAAATTTCCCAGCTGTAGTGCATCAACCTGGAGTTCAATCAGAATGTGCAAGTCTCTCTTATCTGAAGAGGCAGAGATCAGAGTTCTGGGCTTTTGAAGTGGTTGGGATCTGTGGGCCAGGGCATTAAGAGAAGGAGTCTGTGGAGGTCATGAAGTTCATGTGGCGGCTTCCCACACACCCTTGACTGAGAGCTGGGCAGTACCACCAAACACAGCCAACAAAGTTAATGAGACTGGCTGTTACAGAGGTAAGAGCAGAACAGAGAGCTTAGACATTAAGCAGTGCTGGGGACTTCGAACTTAGGGCCCAAACTTCCTGAATAGACCCTTTAACACCTCCTAACAAAGTGGGAATCAAGCTGAATCACTGCTTTATGATAAAAGCCACACCCAGAGAAAGGCCCTTTTTATACCCACTTTAACAAAGCTTAAAACCAAGCCCTAACAAGATTCTTAGAGGACACAGAGTTTTGAGATTGGATCTCACCAATTTACAGGGACTTGGAAAACAGATAAACAGAAATTATACAGTCTCAAGAACAGAGATCTAAAAAGATTCAAGAAAAAATGAACAAACCCCCTTGAACTTATGGACCAATATTACACAGTTTAATATATATGCATTGGAGCTCCAAAAGAAAAATCATTATAATGAGGCAATAAATATTTTTGAAAAATGATTGAAAAACTTTCACTTACAGTTCCAAGAAGGTCAGAGAGCAGTTAGCAAGATAAATACCAAGAAAACTGCATATAGGCATATCAGAGTCACACAGAGAGTCACGGATATCAGAGTCCAAATTAGAACGTCTTGAAAGGAGCCACAGAAAAAAGATGCATTCATTACAGAAGAACAATAATATATATGAAGGCAGAGTTCTCATCGGAAACAATGAAGACCAGGAGCGGTAGCATCTTTAAGGTGCTAAAAAGAAATTAAAAAGTTATCCATCTTGAATTATATATCCAGTAAAATTATCTTCCAAATAATATGGCAAAATAAAGATATTTTCAGGCAAGTGAAAGCTGAGGAAACTCATTTCAAACAGACAGCACTACAGGATGTTTTTCAGGCTGGATGGAAGTGATACAAGATGGAAATTTCGATTTACAGGAAGGAGAGAATGGCAAGTGGAAATGGAAAATCACTGTGTAAATACAAAGACCAATTTTTAAATTCTCTTCTAATTTTCTTAAAAAGAATTTAATGCTTTGCATAAGGCCACATTTATGATGCATGTACATGTAAAAACATGGCCATAGAGCATAAAGGTAAAGGACAAGGGAGGTGAACTAAATGGAAATATACTTTCCCATTTGTGAAGTATGACATGTGACATGTGAAGTTTGAAATGTCAGATGTGAAGTGGGATTATGAAGTAGGAAACTCCTAAGGTTAGAAGTGGAATGTTTATAAGTAGAATCATGCTGTTGTAAGGCTATATAACATTTGTGAAATATGAGGTGGGAAATGTCAGGTGTGAAGTGGGGTTTATGAAGTAGGAAGCTCCTATGATTAGAAGTGAAAATTGAAGTGACACAATATTGATGCTAGATAGGCATTGTTAAAATAATGAGAAATATCGTTAGACTTACAGCAACCAGCCAAAAATAATGAATAGAGTTATATCTATGGAAAGATAATATAAATATATAGCTACAAATAAAAATATATCTTTGTCAAGTATTTCTTACAGTGGATCACGAAGATGGCATTTTTTCTAATAATAAAAGTGATACGTTGATACTATTGAAATTTAGAAACTTACAGTTTAAAGAAGCAATAATTCTACCACCCTGAGAATTTCCTTTATTCCAATATTATATATGTGCCTGTGTGTATGTATATATACATATATAATTTTTTGCTTGTATATTTAGTCCAATAGAGTATATATAATTTTTATTCTATTTTTATATTTATGTCATAAATAATATTTTGTCTCAAATATCTTTGTAAACATGAATTTTAATGATTTATTACATGTAATCACTACGTTGGACAGTTTCCCTTTAGCTGGAGCACTGTTATGAAAAATATCACTAAAGTATTATTTTATTTAAATATTTTCTGCACCTCTGTCAGTGAATTATTTCTTAAGGGAATATATGCCAGTGACCTCATTTTAGGGTTTTAGGGTTTAATCTCTGTCTTAAAGATTTAAAAAATAAATTTGTTGTGTCAGTTGTTTGAAAAGCAGAAGTGGATAGAGCTGAGGCAATACTAAATGGTGAATGGTCTCATAGGCTGTAACTGAGCACCCAATCCAGTGAATAATAACTGTGGGAAGTAAACCCAAGACTGTGGTCTAAGTACAGGCAAGAATACAGGAGGGTGATGTCTGAGAGTGGAGCCAGTATGGAGTAGGGTGATAACACCTTTGCCTCCCATTCATTGCCATCATCACTTGGGAGAAGGTAAGGCCTCATTGAGGAGGGTTATATTAATTAACATTTCAGCCTGTGCAGCAGTTTAGTGTTCCTAAGGTGAGGGATAGTCTATTGGCAATGAACCTAAAAGGAGAACTCAGTGTCAGGTTTGAGGGGAAAATAGAGATTATTTTGTGAGACAAGGCAGTTATGACTGGCTTTATATGTGCACGGTATAATCTTCCTTAGCACGAGTGTCACCAAGTGGGTTAAAAACTGCATTTATGGGGCAGTGGGAATTTACTGAGGCACGAAGAGTCATTGGGATCATAGGGTCATGAAGTTTATAATCTGTAACAGATATGTCTGCAACTGTCTTCTCTAGGGCCTCTTCAGTGCCATATAGGGTGGTGGTTGATATTAGTAGGGCAGGGGAGGAGGTGCAGTTTATGTCTTAAAGCTGAGAAACAGGGCAGGCACCTCAGAAAATAACCAAATTCACCAAGGCAATTAAATATGCAAGCCTTTGTGAACAGATCTTGCCATTCTTTGATAGAGCTGAAGCCAGATTTAAAATTTGTTGGAGACAATATACTTGTGTTTTTAATTCCAGAAAGAGCATATGATATTGGGATAGTAAGCATTATATCTTAAAATGGCTCATTAATTTGGAAGGATATACTTGATGCCATGTAAGAGAGAGAAGTGCTTCCTAATGATCAGTTGCTTCTGTATGATGAAAACCGACTAGTTTTTAAATATTTTTATTTAAATACTTTAAAAATATTTTTAAATTTTTAAGAAATATTTTAAAAATTTAAAATATTTTTATTTGAACAGATATTAAATTTATATGGTTCAAAATTCAAAATGTACAAAAGGATATTTACTGAAAAACTGTCTTCCATCCCTATTTACCAGATAAACAGTTCCTCTCTCAGAGCCTAAATATTTTCAGTTTCTCATGCATTTTCCAGTGATAAACATATGTATACAAGTTATATAAAAGTGTCCTTTTTAACACAAATGAAATGGTAGTATTCTTTACATACAGTTTGGTACTTTGCTTTTCCGTTGGTGTTATTTTTTAAAATACCTTGGAGATCTTTCCATATCACATCATGAGATTTGTCATACTGTTTTATTCAGGGCTGAATTGTGATTTTTGTGAGCCCTAGGTTCTTTTGCCTTCTTTGACCCCTTTCTCCATAAATAATAGTAATAGTAACAGTAATGGTAATAGTAATAATAATAATGCTCTATTTTATGACTGTGTTGGTATAAAGGTGAATATAATCAAGGTTGGATTCATTATTATTTATTATCATTATATTTATTTTTTCTGATTTTAAAAGAAATTTAAATTAGCACATTTTCATGGGTCCCTAAAAGTACTGGTGAGCCTTAGGCACTATGTCTATTTTGACTAATTGAAAGATAAATCAGCTCTGGCTGATTTTATTATTACAAAGTTTTCCATAATAAGGACATTATTTTAATCAAGTCCTTGTTGATGAACAGTTAGGTTGTTTCCAAACTTTTTGATTTTTTTTTAATAGTAAGGAGTTTAAAAACTGTAAGCTAAACAAAAAGATGCAGCCAAACATAATAAGTATTTACATACTAATTTAGAATGGTACTACCTTATAAACTAAAATTATTATTTTATTTTATTTTCCTGCATTTTTTAGCTGGCAGTAAACCAAATAGTCACCAAGTGCTAGTGGGGCATGTGAAATAGCACTTTTTGTTTCTCTGTCATGATTTTTATTTTCTTTTTCTTTCTACATACACCATCCCCTTCTCTTTGCCTCCTCCTCCTTTGATTCAGATTAATATTACTATTCTCTTTACAGTTCTTCCTTCTTTCCTATTGGTTCTTTAAGTTTGTCCTAAAGGCTTATTTATATTTAAACACTTTGGTAGAATTCAAAGATGAGGAAATGGCCAGTATTGTTAATATTTGAAATGTGCCT